ACTGCTGTCAGTCCTGGAGACGGTTCTGCTGGGGGTGCTGCTGGCGCTGCTGGAGGTGCTGCTGGCTCTGGTCCTGCTGCGGGTGCTGCTGGTCCTGCTGGAGGTCCTGCAGCTGGCGCTGGTGTTGGCGCTGGTGCTGTCCCTGCTGTGTCTGGAGTCGCCGCGCGGCCTCGGCCGTACTTCGTTCCGCTCCTTCAGCAGGTTCTTGGTCTTCCTCCTCCCTTAGAGTGTCCACCGCCTGTCCAGTCCCAGTCACAGCTTCCGCCGGCCTCCCCACTGCCTTCTCCTTCTTCCTACACTGGTCCTACTGGAGGTCTTGCTGAGCGTCGTGAGCCTGCGTCTCGTCCTGCGTCGCCTGTTCGTGCTGCTCGCACTAGTGGTTGCGGTTCGCATCAGCGTCCTCCTCCTGTCCCTGGCACGCACCGGATGTCTCTGCGTCCGTCCACTGCTCCTCTGCGTGCCCCTTTGCCTTCTCCTCATGAGACCTCTCTTCGTGCACTTGCCGACCCAGAGTCGGACTCTCTTCGTGCTGCCAGTCCTACTGTCACACGTCTCCTTGCTACTGTCGTCACTGACCCCTCCTTTGAGTCCACTGCTGCGTCTGCTCTTGTTGCTGAGCTCGTCAACTTTGCTGCTCGCTGTCGTCTAGACTACGCTGCTAGTCTTGTTGCTGAGTCTGTGTCTGTCTGTCCTACGTCAGTCGGGGGTGAGTGTGCTCTTGGCACGGACGTCCTTGAGGACAGGCAGGAGGAGTTCCAGTGTCTGGCTGCTGCTTCACCTCATCTCGTGTCCGTACTCCTTACCCCTGAGGGAGACCCGGATGCACTTGACATCCCGACTCCGCGCTCTTACGCGGAGGCCGTAGAGGGTCCCTACTCCTCTCAGTGGCAGGCAGCTATGGATGCAGAGATGGCTTCCTGGAAGTCCACAGGCACCTACGTTGACGCAGTTCCCCCTCCTGGGGTGAACATCGTCAGTGGCATGTGGATCTTCACGGTGAAGCGGCCGCCAGGTTCTCCACCTCTCTTCAAGGCGCGGTACGTGGCTCGTGGCTTCAGTCAGCGGCAGGGAGTTGACTACTTTCAGACCTTCTCTCCCACCCCGAAGATGACCACTCTTCGGGTGCTGCTACACATAGCCGCTCAGCGTGACTACGAGCTTCACTCCCTTGACTTCAGCACTGCTTTCTTGCAGGGTAGCCTGCACGAGGAGATGTGGCTGCGTCGCCCACCTGTTTCTGCGCACCGACACCTCTCTGCCGCCGTTCTACATCCTCGTGTACGTCGACGACTTGGTCTTTGCCACAGCGGACACTGCTGGACTCGCCCACGTGAAGTCCGAGCTGCAGAAGAGACACACGTGCACAGACCTGGGTGAACTGCGCAGCTAGCTTGGCTTGCAGATCACCCGGGACAGAGCACAGCGCACCATTACCCTGACTCAGTCACACATGGTGCAGCAGGTCCTTCAGCGCTTCGGCTTCACGTACTCCTCGCCTCAGGCCAGTCCTCTGTCTACTCGCCACTCGCTCTCAGCTCTGCCTTCGGATGAGTCCGTAGAGTCGAGTGGCCCGTACCCAGAGCTTGTTGGCTGCCTCATGTACTTGATGACCTGCACACGACCTGACCTTGCATACCCTCTTAGCATTCTTGCACGCTATGTTGCTCCTGGGAGACACAAACCAGAGCACATGGCTGCAGCGAAGAGGGTGTTGCGCTACTTGTGCAGTACGTCGGGCATGGGGCTAGTGCTTGGAGGGCGGAGTCCAGTGGTCCTCACTGGGCACGCGGACGCTTCTTGGGCTGACGACCAGGCTACACAGCGGTCGTCACAGGGTTACACCTTCAGCCTTGGTTCCGGCTCTGTTTCGTGGCGGGCTACTCGCTCGTCTTCTGTTCTCGGCTCCAATTGTGAGGCTGAGATCTACGCCGGAGCCATGGCTGCTCAGGAGCTTCGCTGGCTCACCTACCTGTTGACTGACCTCGGAGAGCCGCCTCGTTCTCCTCCAGTGCTGTACGTAGACAACAAGGCCATGCTGGCCTTGTGTGGGGAGCAGCGCCTGGAGCACAGAACGAAGCACATTGCTCTCCGCTACTTTCTTGCTCGTGAGCTGCAGCAGCGTGGTCAGTTGCGACTTGCGTACGTCGCCTCTGAGGCCAACACTGCTGATATCTTCACTAAGGCACTTGCGCCTTGTGATCATCAGCGCTTCTGTACTCAGCTTGGTCTTGTACCTGTCTTGCCTCACTTACTCACTTCTTGACCTTGCTTGTACTGTGACATATATATATACTCCTGCTCTTGCTTGTTTAGCCTGTTATATATATATGTGTTCCTGCATGTGAACTGGCCTTCTGGCCTTGAACTTGTGCTCGGAATGTGTGGTGACTTTGTGATCCACCTTGAGCTTTGCTTTGTTTTGCTTGACTGGTCTTGTGACCCCTTGTTCTCCCCCACTTTGCCTATGGGGGTGTGTCAAATTTTAATATTGTGTAGGCTATAGTGGGGTATATGGGGTACACATTTCTAGGGTCGCATATTTATATCACTTTCGTTCCTTAGTCAATCATTCTCGTTTCAATGTTCTCTGTTCCACCACGTTCCTGTTTCAGGTGTGGTATAGCGACGGCTGCCTGCGTCAGGGTCCTCATCAACACGCGCCTTGAGCTTGAAGCCGGGCGCGTTGTTGGGATGTCCAAACATTTCAGCGAATGCCTGGTGTATGGTGGCGAAGGCACGTGAGAGGAGAGGCATGGTTAGTGGCGGTGAAGGTGGGTGTACGGTTAATACAAGGATAAATACGTACATGCAAACCCTGTGTGCCTCATCATCATTTCACGGCCTTGAATGCAAAGTCGGCTTACCTGGGCTGAATTCTGAAAGAGCAAGCGCTGTGGTGGATGACCGTCAATCTCGAAGGTCGCCACCGACCATCCGCGATTGAGCCGTGCCAAACGCTCCATCTCGAACCGCTCCAGATCCTTACAGTTCCGGAGCTTCGAGATCACAAGAGGCGCAAGGCCGGGCTCTACGACTAGCTGAAGCAGGCCGTTGATGTCAACCTCGGCCATTCCCATTCCGCCATTCACGCGCCAAACAAAATGCAGCAGCTTCAACGCGAGGGGATTGAGGGGCGTGGCATTGCTCTGTTCGGAGATGATTGTTGGCGGCGTGGCATGACTCCCTTCGGGCCGGCTCTCAGGATGGTCACAGGTGTCAGCCGCAGGAGCTCCTGGTTGTGGTTGATGTTCATCTTCAGGAGGCCCCTCGTTCACGTCGTTGGGAGTTTCGTCAACGTGAGCTTCAGGCACGCGTGGAGGACTGCTCACACTGACGGCGTTGGATGCGTTAGACGCTGTAGGTGAACTGGGAGCGGCTGGAGCGTCCGACAGAATGTCGTGGACGAATAGCAGAGCGTGAAGACCGGCGGTCGGTGCAGATCGCGTCGGCCTTGCCATGGCGGATAGTCCTTGGCAAGGGGTCCGCCGTGACTTATGACCGCCATTAACTTGGGCGTTGGGGAGCCATCTGCTGCAGAACTTGCAGACGACGCCTGGTAAAGAGCCCATGTGTTACGGATCCGTTGTAGAGTCGAGAAATCGCCTATGAAGCTACTAGCCGTGATGAAGCTTGTGAACGCATTAAGTACTGCGTTCAAGAAGCCTGTCACAGCTACACGATCATCGCCAATGCGCGCACTGTGGTGGGCGGCTTGTATCACTGCACGACTGGCACTTGACATTGGCGCTAATGTTTATGACTGGCTAACGATGTCGAGCCGCGTGGTCGTTACCAGGCACGATACAGACCGCCCACCTCACGGGCCGTCTTCCCTACAAGGCGTGTCGCACCCGTTTAGAGTGACCACGACGTGAGCAGAGGAGAATGCGGAGGATCTTAAGTCTCACGGTCGTGTGTGTGCGTCGCGAGCACAGTGAGAAGGACGTGCCTATTGAATCAAGAACTTGTGTTTAGGAACCGTGCGTGAGAGTCAAGGGGGATGAGGAAGAGCTGGAAGAGATTCGTTTGGATCTGTGATTGTGTCGCGAATCGATATAGGGGAGAAATCAGAATCACGTAGGTGAGCTCAAGAGGCTTCAAACATACATGGAAATGCAAATGTACAATTACAACTTAACAAGACACTCAAGTAATTCATAACTAGTAAACATTCATATCCTTAGGACTGATGTTGAACAACCCTTACTTGATAACGATACGGGAAGTACCCAATAACTCCATGCCCTAACGTATGGTTGTTGTGTGGAGCGAATACCTATAGCGTGTCTTCTCTCGAGGTGTAGTGTACCTCTACGCACCGTGCTGAATGAATATGCAAGAATGGATGACAATGTCGTACAATAACACAACGGTTTCAATGTCCATGCAATGTTGGATGACAATGCAACCACCCTCGTGTCCCACCCACCTGCTTCCGTTACTCCCTGGACGAACACTTTAGCGCGAGGCATAGTGGCTACTATGACAGATTTAGTTGAAGCGGCGGTTTTCGAAACCCCTTACCGTGATAGACCGTCGATAATCCCATCGTGGGATTCAGTTGCAGAACCCTTTCGAAACCGGCTCAACCCTTCCGCGCGATTTGCAACTTTGCTCCTCCTACAATTACCATGACACGTGCAACACGTAACCAAGCAATGGAGGAGGAACATGCCGGCCGCCGCGCGACAAGGAGGACGTCTAAACAAATCGATAGGGAGTGTGGTGGCGGCGCTAAAAAAACTAATGCGTCCGTCGCTCGTGGCATTGGGAAGAAGAAAGCGGCGGCAAAAAAGGTCGCGCGCGGTCAACAGGAGGCCGGCAAGAAAGCGGAAGACAATGGCCCAAAACCAACGCCACGCAAGCGTGTTTCTACAGTGAACAAAGATGCGGATGTTGCCTCTACTGGAACCGAGCCCGGTCCGAGTAAAAACGGCACCACTGGCGGCAACGAAGATCCGGGGCGAGGGAGCGCGAGTCTTGCACTCCCGTCGGCGGAGATGGAGGGATCGGCGACGGAGGGAAATCACGGAGGCGATCCCCGCGCTGAGCATGCCGCGACCAAGGAGTCCAATGCGGCGGCAACGCAACACCATCTGACGCTGCTCCAGCCGGCCGTGGTCGAAGTTTCTGCAGTCGTGCTGGATAAGGACAAGGTGGGGGAGCACGAGTTAGTGGGGCTGGTCGGTGGCTCTCCACCTTCTGGTGGACGAGGGAGGCGTAGGCAGAGGAAGAGCGATGGGGAGGACGATTATGACACCGCCGTGCCCGGGGACCTCATTACGCGGGCGAAGAGGTGGCAGACGACAGGTAGTGCAGACGACGCTGGAGGCGCGGCAGTTGGGACACCGCGAGGCGCCAAGGAAGCTAGTGGCAAGGCGGGCGGTCAAGCATTGCGCCAGAAGGGCCGACCCGCAGCAAGAAAAGCATCCGGCGGAAGGAGAGGCAAGAAAGCAGCGACGGGAACAAAGCCAAAACGGGGCGATGAAGACCCCGGTGATGCGGAGGAGGAGGATGAGAAGGAGGATGCGGAGGGAGAGGAGGATGAAGAGGAAGCGGAGGAGGATGACGCGGATGTTGGGGAGGATGAAAAAGATGAGAATGATGGCGGGGAGGACAAAGAGGAGGAGGAGGAGGAGGAGGAGGAGGAGGAGGAGGAGGAGGAGGAGGAGGAGGAGGAGGAGGAGGAGGAGGATGAGAAGGAGGAGGAGGAGGAGGAGGAGGAGGAGGAGGAGGAGGCAGAGGAGGAGGAGGAGGCAGAGGAGGCAGAGGAGGAGGAGGAGGAGGAGGAGGAGGAGGAGGAGGAGGAGGAGGAGGAGCAGGGTGACGACGAGGAGGAGGATGTGGAGGAGGAGGAGGAGGAGGAGGAGGAGGAGGAGGAGGAGGAGGAGGAGGAGGAGGAGGAGGCAGCGGAGGAGGAGGAGGAGGAGGAGGAGGAGGCAGCGGAGGAGGAGGAGGAGGAGGAGGAGGAGGAGGAGGAGGAGGAGGAGGAGGAGGAGGAGGAGGATGTGGCGCCAGTGAAGGGAAAGGGCGGGCGTGGCAGACTGGTGAGTGGTACAAGGAAGGAGGGGGGCCGGACTCGCCCTTCCCGAAAACGCGGGGCAGTTGACGCTGCGCGCGGCGAAGCATCGGGCAAACCGAAGGCGCGTAAGGTGAAGGTCGAAAGTGAAGGGGTTGGTAAAAAGTAAGGGAGCCAGGGAGCAAAAGGGGATGGAGGAGGAAAGGGTGGCCGCGCCAAAGGGGTTCCAGTGGGTACCAGCAAGAAAGAACCTGCCGATAAACGTCGGAGCGTCTGCCAAAGCACCCCGCGGAAAGGTGGCAACGAGAAGGCGCAGGCTGCCCCAAAACCGAAGGGACAGCAGAAAGGTGAGCATTGTGTCCAATAAAACTGGCGTGACGTGTTGAACCATCTGCTAAACCGTGCCAAAAAACACCCTTTTTTCACATTTGCAGGGAAGGAGAAGATCGACGAATCTGCCAAGCAAGGTAAACCCTCTTGTCTCAAACCAGTACAACCCTGAACCCAATCTAGATTCAAACCTTTCTGAATATGCATGCATGTCTGGCCCCGCCTTGAAACCGATCGACTCTATTTTTTTTTTCCGGCTCCCTCTACGTCTCAGCCCCTCGCGTTACAGGCATTGGGCCGCCCGTAAGCGTGCAACGAATGCATCGAACGAAGGCTGCCGGAAGAGCGAGTGTTACACCGCTCTCCTCCAGAGCACCAAGGTACTACACGCCATGGGCCGGCCCGAGCATAGTCGCTGTGACGGCACTAGGCGCGCCAAGAGGAGAGGAATCCGAATCCCCTCCACCCGCCCCCGTCACGCAGTCCCCACTCGCCTCACCCTCGTACCAATTTCGGCAACTCCACGCTTCTCCTGTCCGGGGCAGGGCGGTCTCCCCTCTCGCCGATCCTTCGCGCGGGCATCAGGCAGGCAGTTATGCCAATCCCTTCCCTGAGCTCCCCTTTTCCCAACAGCGTGATAGTGTGAGGGCACACGGGACTGCTGTAGAAGACGTTGATCCCCTTGGCCAGAGGGGGGATTCTTCACACCCTTTTCCCTCCGCTCATGGGTGCCCTAGGTGAAAGTGCGGAGCACTAGCATTTTGTTACACGAGAGGAGTTCCAGGCGCTGCGGTCTGAGATGTACGCCATGTTTGCACAGCTCGGCCTGCGTCGTGGAGTACCTGCCAGCTATGCCGGCGGGTCGGCAGCCCTGCCTATGGCTGGTACCCCGCCGCCGATGAGCGCCGTGGACAAGGCACGAGTGCTAGTGTTGCAGGAGACAAACCCATTCCCGGTATGTGGCGGGCAACATGGGGAGGGTTGGGGTTGACGTGGCAACAAGGGCGGGTTTGGGGCTGACGTGGCGGTTTCGAAGGGAACACGGGAGCGGCGCGTGACGAGGCGACGCGTATCAGGTGGGTGGGGGGTGACGTAGCATGGGGTGGGTGGGTGTGACGTGGCAAGTGGCGCGGGTTGTTGGTGGACGTGGCGGATGCGGGTTGGGTGTGACGTGGCAAAAGGTGAGGGTTGGGATATGACGTGGCGGTGTGAAAGGGTGCAAGGGAGTGCCGCATGACGGCGCGAGGCATTTCAGGTGGGTGGGGGGTGACGAGGCTCTTGGTGGGGGGTGTGACGTGGCAAGTAGGGCGGGTTGTTGGCGGATGCTGGGGGGTGTGACGTGGCAGAATGTGAGGGTTGGGGCTGACGTGGCGGTTTGGAATGGTATACGGGAGCGGCGCGTGACAAGGCGACGCTTGTCAGGTGGGTGGGGGGTGACGTGGCATGGGGTGGGAGGGTGTGACGTGGCACGTGGGGCTGGTTGTTGGTGGACGTGGCGGATGCAGGAGGGTGTGACGTGGCACGTGGGGCTGGTTGGTGGACGTGGCGGACAAGGAGGGTGTGACGTGGCACTTGGGGCTGGTTGGTAGACGTGGCGGATGCAGAAGGGTGTGACGTGGCGGAAGGTGAGGGTGGGGGATGACGTGACAGATGCAGATGGGTGTGACGTGGCGGAAGGTGAGGGTTGGGGATGACGTGGCACCCTAAAAGGGTACACGTGAGCGGCGCATGACGAAGCGAGGCGTCTCAGGTGGGTGGGGGGTGACGTGGCTCTTGGTGGGGGGTGTGACGTGGCAAGTAGGGCGGGTTGTTGGCGGATGCAAAAGGGTGTGACGTGGCAGAATGTGAGGGTTGGGGCTGACGTGGCGGTTTGGAATGGTACACGGGAGCGGTGCGTGATGAGGCGACGCGTGTCATGTGGGTGGGGGGTGACGTGGCATGGGGTGGGAGGGTGTGACGTGGCACTTGGGGCTGGTTGTTGGTGGACGTGGCGGATGCAGGAGGGTGTGACGTGGCACGTGGGGCTGGTTGGTGGACGTGGCGGACAAGGAGGGTGTGACGTGGCGGAACATGAGGGTTGGGGATGACGTGGCGGATGCAGGTGGGTGTGACGTGGCGGAAGGTGAGGGTTGGGGATGACGTGGCGGTTAGAAATGGTACACGTGACCACTGCGCATGACAAAGCGAGGCGTGTCAGGTGGGTGGGGGGTGACATGGCTTGTGGTAGGGGGGTGTGACGTGGCAAGTGGGCCGGGTTGTTGGTGGATGTGTCTGATGGCGCAGGGTGTGACGTGGCAATTTCAAACAGTGTTGCTAGTCACCATCCCATGGTCACGCGGCCACCCTCATAACTGCTGGTTTCTCTCTTCCATGTCGTGTTGTATACCTTATACCCCTGCGCAGAACAAAGCCTACTTAGTGTGCTCTCAGCTCATGTTTCTGAACCCGCCGGAGAAAATACAGTACTACCCTGCACCGGAGGAAGTGTTCGAAGCGTTCTCTGTCCACTTGTCTGCAGAAGGGCTCAAGGCAATGAAGCTGCTGTGGTTGCACAATGACAAGTCAACCATGGGAGTCTTCAACCACCAGCTGTCCTCAACAAGGTCAACTATCAACTCCACCCTCAGGCCAGCAGCATACACCGGCATGGGCCTTGCCGATTACAGCCATCTCGTGGATAGCCTGCCCACTGAGCTACACCCAACGACCTGGTTCGACGACGATCAACTCCTAGCCGAGTACAGAGATGGTATGTGCAGTGCAACTCGAAAACACAATATGCCCTACCATATGCATCTTGGCAGCTACATATCACCATGCGATCTGGCTCACCCTAACTCTCATCCCCCCATTTGATTTCTCTACAAAACCCTTTCCAACCCATACCCTCCCTGCCAAAAAGCAGAACAGTGGGCCCCCAACTGGCACTTTGACAAGGCCACCGGGACACCCTTCAGCAACCCCTTGTTCGCTTATGCGTTCAAACTCTCCTTCAAGAGGGGCGGGGCGGTGTTCACCAAGTTCAAGAGCCGCATGGTGGCATGGGGCCTGTTTTCGGTAAGGATGTAGATATGTGTTTGTACCCCCACGCCTCATCCCCTTAACCCCTTGCCTGTACTTCAGCTAAAACCCTGGACGATTAGGCCTTTGCAGTTACGTAGATAGTGACGACTGCATCACCGCTTTCAGTTGCCTCATTTACCCGTAACCTACCCTCCTCATAAACCATCCACCCAACCCTACACCACATTGCAGATCGAATGGCCCCTTCTGCAGGATAAGCGTTGCAAGCGAATCAGTAGCCAGCCGGAGCAGAACAGGCCAGACTACCAGGAGTGGTGCGAAAAGGTCAAACAGATGATCCATTTTGCTGTCGTGGAGCGGAGGATCCCCCACGATCCGGCTATGGGTGCGTTCGTCTTTCCGAACAAGTTCCTCATCGACGACGGCGACCTTGGAGATGTCGTCCTTGCCCACCGGGCGCTTTCAAGGCCCGCTAGTGCGTAGGCTATTTGACCTGGTGCTAAGATTGCTTGTTGCTAGAATGCTGAATAATGGTTCTTGTAAACAGCAATAATAAATGCAATTTTGAAATCCTCAATATCCAAAATGAACAAAAACAGAATATAGTTCTGAATAATTTGGTCACGAATTTGCAACAAAACAGATTGCGCCCGAATGTCATCCGGAAAAGCTCGCGTGCCAAATTGGAACTTGAACCGAGCCAAACCTTGTCGCAAGATGTGTCTCCAAGCTCCTATCAAATGACTCCAACCGTCGGTCCAAATTGGCTCCGGATTTTTTTACGCGAAGACAATCGAAATCAAAATTTGTCCAAACTTGGCATAGGGTTTTTGTGATGTCAAAGGGTTTGAAGGTTCTATGCAAGAAGTCGCCGGTGATGGGGAGGGTTTGCTGGAGGGCACTAACGATTTGCGTGTGACCCTGCATGATGTCTGTTAGAGACTAAGGACGGAGTCTGTGAAGATTAGGAGCCTAAATTTCTCAAAATCGTTGGCTTGAAATTCTGGACAGAATCGTCGAGTTCACAAGAAACGTCGTCGACAAAAAAGGCACCGTCAAAACTTCACGAATTTCAGATATGTTGTAGCTCTAATCCATGGCTACAATTCCCAAGTTGAATCATGTGATAAGGTGGAGTATTTCTCGAGTTATCAATTTTGGCGCACTAGGGGGTATGCTGCCACATGCTTAACTCAATAACAAAATAGTTCTCACAAGTTCCACAAAGTTGCACACAAGAGAGTTAGGGTAGCACTAAACCAGGTAGGAGGAAAGAGGAGGACGAGAGGGAAGGTCCCAAGAGAGAGTCCCCAACCAAGGAAAACTCCATGCCACACAATTCCCTTCCCCATAGGAAACCCCACTTTCACTTTTGTCACTTTCCCAACCCATGCCATCCACCTTAACCCAACTTGGCCACACTTGCCAACCTGGTTTGGTTTCTCCCAACCACATGGCAGCAACTACAGTAGAAAAGACGAATTTCCCAACCCCCAAAAGTCTGTACCCCATATTGAGTCAACCCCACAACTCCCCATAGTCACCACAACCAAATATCAAAAGCATACGAACTCCAACGTTCGTAACTTTCTTGTTCGTGCTCCGATTGAAGCGATACTTGGTTCGTCGGAAAGCTCTTGAGCAGTGGAGTCACTTCAGATATCTGCTCAAGCCAAATAACATTCACACACACTCAGAAAATCCAAACCACAGAAAAACACAAATTCTTGCACACGCTCATTTCACACATGCAACGCACGAACACATGATGGGAGGCAGACAGACGTGAATGCAAATGATAGCATCACATAACAAACTCCCCCTCTGGCTGCCAACCATCATCCCACATGCCATAGCTCAAGCATGCACCCTCAATGCACATTCATTCCCGCAAGCTTCATTCACTTCCAACACTCATCTCAATGGACAATCATCTCCTTCCAACATCCCACTTCCAACATCTCCTCTTTGCTCAAATCTGTAGCACACTCTGCAGCGTCTGTTTCAAAACACTATCCACCAAACCATCTCATTGCAGCTCCATAGCAATACGCTATCTCATCCTCATCCATCTGTTCAGCCACACTTCCAGCCGGTACCACACTTGGCGTGCCACGGCTCGCATAGGTCAGCCGGTTAGGAGGGCACACATCCCTCCTAGGACGGTCAGACGGACGTGCGGCACCTTGTGGAGCATTTTGCTGCTGCTGCTGCGGCTGCTGCTGCTGCTGCTCCTCCACCTCAGGTTCTCCCCCATCCTCAGTCACCCCAGAAATCTCCTCCTCTGAGACAGTGACCTGCACTTGCCTCGAAGGCCGCTGCACCTCATCAGCCTCAATGATCAGCGGTGTAGTGGGAAGCTTCTGCTGCTGCTGCTTCCACTCCTTGTAGTACAAGGACTCAAGGAACTTCACATCCCTCGACACAGTCAGTTGCTGGCTGGTCAAGTCCCAAATCAGCCAGCCCTTGTGATCCTTAGCAAGCCCCAAGTGCACACCCCATCTCCCAGAAGCTTCCAGTTTTCCCCTCTTCTCCTTAGGCACATGAAACACCACCATGCAGCCATAAGTTCTCAGCATGTTGACTGCAGGCGCACTCCCATACCACTTGGTGTAGGGGACCCATTGCTTGTCCCCCACAGTCGCCAGCACCCGGTTCTTCACAACAACGACCTGCCGCAGTGCTGTCACCCAAAACGGATCCGGCAGCCCTGCACGCCCAAGGAGAGTGCGAGCACCTTCCTGCAGGGTCCGGTTGAACCGCTCAGCCACGCCATTCTGCTGAGGGTTGTAAGGCACTGTGAGCTGATGCTGGATCCCCTTCCGCTTCAGCTCCTTCTCAAAATCAGCGCCGATGAACTCTCCTCCGTTGTCAGTGCGGATCACCTTCACCTTGTGTCCGCTCTCCCTTTGTGCTCTCGGCATCCACTCCTTAAGAACAGCCGCTGCCACCTCCCCCTTAGTCTTG